AAAAGGCACAAATAAATCAATGTATGGGAAACTGGTAATGTATATCGAAATATCGGAAATGTGTTTAAAAATCATATCACCGTAATTGAAAAAAATTATATCGCGATACATATTGATATTGAATTATTGTCCAGCCCTAGTTCATCTCTTGAGTCGTTCGTTCATCACGTGACAGACCCAGAACCTATGCAGTCTGAGCCGGAAAGAGACTTAATAATAATAACCAACTCTTTATTACCTTTGTTACACCATTCAGTGTTATGGAAAAGAACCATCATGACAGAAATTCACACATTTATGAACTGTAAGAAGTAAAAAGCTACAATTTGAGACCAGAAACGCATCACGTAACTGTAAGAGTAAATAATAATTATAATAATGATAATACTAAAGGTCCGAGTCGGTAAAATGATCCGAACTACCCATCACTAGTCAGCAGTTTACTGTCGGGGATTTGTCGTGTCGCGCCGCATCCAAGACAGCATCACTGATTATAACGAGTTCTTGTATTTTATTGCGTTGCGCCGCTCGCGTCCGGTGTAGACACGATATAAGTTAATGTAGCTTTCTGATGCTGCGTTTGAATTTTCATGCACCAATATTTGAAATTAGCGCAGGCCAAACTTTTTTGTCTCACGGGCCGGATGTGGCCCGCGGGCCGCCTATTGAGGAACCCTGCACATTGGCTTAACCATATGACTTGTTTAGGGTGGTGCTATCTGCTTACTGACCAATTGCAGACAATTGTTTTCAAACCTTTTAAACTATCTACTTAAACTATCTACCCCAAACATTTTAAACTATCTAATTTTGTAATTCAGTTCAGTGATGGTAGTGCTGCAGAAATTCCACATTTCAGCTTAAAACAAAGTTTGGTGAGTCGGTAATCAAAGTACGCTCGTGCAAACACATAAATAAACAAATAAACTTGTCTGAGGGTTTCCCTTTCAAGTTGTTTGTGGAGACACATAAAGTAGACATCTACACATGTCTCTAATCAGCGAGCGCACGTTTTCAGTAACAAAACATCAAAACATTACTCAGCCAGTGGTAAGATGTAGCCACTTCTAAGTTTCAACTAAACTTTTGATCTCCTCCAAAATCTCATTCGCTTACTTCTTTCATAAAAGAAATAGCTTTCCTGCTTTATAAACAAATACACGCTCTTCTTCCATAAATGCCGAGCCGCTATCAAAAAGTTCACCCATATATTTACAAACCAAACTTCTGAAGTCATACCCCGGTGTCAAAGGTGACAATCAAATCTCACAGGAATCCATCCACAGACAATGGCACAGTGTGGAAAACACCCAGCCTGTGTCCTGTGCGGCACGCAGTGAATTTAGCCCCTAATGAATAACACCAAAACACTCGCGAGTGAACAATGCCACAGTTGTGCTAATAGCAGCACTAGCACAGACGCAACGTATGCAGACCTTCTCCACATATGGAGTATAAAGCATATGCTGTTGGTACACGTCTTTAATTAGAAACAGCATTAGGTTATGGAATGACAATAAAGAACTGTGGGAAATGCATGCATTAAACAGTCAATGAAATCAAACCTGACTATATTTACATACTTAAAATTGGTTTCTGTTTTTATGATGAATGATTCATCACTGCAATTTGTTCAAAACTATAAAAATATTGCCTTCATAATTTTTTATCAAAATGCAATGAATTACAACCTTGGTTGGCTGGTGTGCTTAAAGTCTTGATGTAATGGAAGTGGTTTGGATGCACAACTGAAATAACCTGATTCGCCTCTGAAACAACTTTCCTTTATGGCTGACATCACCAAGCCTGTAGACTGTATTCATATCAAGATGGTCTACATGCATTACTATGAAGGTGAGAAACTACAACGTGCAATATGGCAGAATAGGTCTCGCCCTATACATAAAAGAACCAATCAGCAATTGTCATCAAAAGTCATTGTATCACTGTAGCTGCCATCAGAAGCTACTTTTACATACTTTTACACTGTTTGCTTTTGAAGTCTGTGGGTTAAAGTGATCTCGCCGGTACATGATTTTGAAGGAGGGAGACCCTCCCGGAATGCGAATTTGATTGGTCCCTCGACAGAAATAAAAACTGCAAAAAAAAACCTGATTGGTTTTGGGCTAGTTTTGATTAGCAATTTGGCTGGTTTTGTTTCACAGACCTGGCAACCCTGGCTACAGAAGTAGTGTCCTTAGGAATGCACACACACATTGGCTGGTCCAACCAAAAAAAATATAATGCTATTTGAGCATAAAAGGCAACATTTATGGAACAGTTAATGTTAAATGTAAATTTCCAGTATTTCACCAATTAACTTCACATAGGAGTTGGCCTTTGATGCCTGAACTAGCAAATACTGTATGGCTGAAGAGTGAACTGACTTTCAAACTAGTGGTCAACCGATTTGGATTTTTTGATAGCCAATATAAAGTCACATTTTTTATATAATCTTGAATTCAAATTTTTGATATAATTTAATGATATTAAATAACACAAGCATATTATATTTATATTTGTTTAACAAAATATTTACTAAAATAATTAGAAGTAAACTGAAAATTTTTCAATTTGAAAAAAAAATGTAACATAAAAAAAATCTGTAAAAATAAACAGATTTATACTTTAGATGGCAACTTGTAAGTGCAAAAAAGTAATCCTATTATGGAATTTTTAAACATAAATAAAGAGTTTAAAACATGAACAAAAGGGAAGTAAACAGTAACCAGCAGGAAACTCAAAATGTGCTCTGCTGCTGCATTTTTGTCGAAGTTTGGGAGGTTTGTAGATTTAAATGTTTAACAGGTATATAAAGACTTGTTTAAATTATATAAATGCTTTTTATCATCCAATTAGTTGGATAAAAGTCATGCCATGCATTTACTTCAACTTTCATTTTTGAGCTTTCATGGAGAGGATAGTGGAAAGAGGGCAGGAAATAATATAGAAAAGAGAAGGGAATGGAATGGGATCTGGAAATGATGCGAGCAAGACTCAAACCCACATGTCCTGCATGTGCACCACAGCTCAATGCCTAACCGCTAGGTCATGGCTCCAACAATCTCCTTTGTTGCAAACGCAAGTATGTCTGCTCACCTAGGTCTTTGTCTTTGATTTCCACACTGCTAACTGCAGACGGAAGACTTGAGATTTTCTCTTCATCCGAGTCCGTATGGAGGACAGTACTTGACTAAAGCGAGAAAGAGAGACTGTAAGAACTCACTAAATGACATTAGCAAGCCCAGAATGCTCTCCAACACAGGTAATCAGTCCTTTATCTACAAATTAGCTTAAGATCGAACACAAGACTTTGCTAATCAGTTTAGTACATGGCTCAGGCCAGCAGAAGATTCATGAAAGAGACTCTGTGGAATGGATGTGAGGGAAAGGTCTGCAGATGATTAACCACCAAGCTAAATCAGTAACATCTCATTCAGAGAAATGAAGTTATGCTGTTACTCTCTTGCTGTGTCCATCACAATTGATAATGTTGTTAACATAGATAGCAGAAGCTGGCATGATGTCAGTAGCGTGATTTACCCTGCAAGAGTCCAGCCTTTCGCTCCTCAGGATGGATGAAGAGCCTTGGGATTCAGGCTCATAATAAGAGGAGCCGCTCACTTCTTCTATTATCTACAAAAAAGACATACAAAAAAAAAACACATCAGGTTATTTACAGGTTAAAGTCGTCATGAAATAAAAATTCACAATTTTTCACATTTTCACATTTTTTAAATGCATGTTATAGATCTTATTGTAAACAATAACATATTTGTGCATATGTTTGATTTTTAAAAATGTTTTGAGCTCATGTTCATCTGCCTCCATTTTTGAGTGTGCATTTTTTTTGCAAACAATGCATAGAAGCAAGTCTCACCATACATTTTGTCTTATTTAATAATCATTTCAGTAATGTACAATAAGGAAGAAAACTTCTGTCGCTACTTCCATTTAATCACAACTTTAAAGGCATAGTTTACCCAAAAATGAAAATTTTGTCATAATTTACTCACCCTCACGTTGTTCCAAACCTGTATGAATTTTCTTTATGACTTTCTCCATTGTTTTTTTCCCCTTACTATTGAAGTCAATGGCTAACGTCAACTGTTTGGTTACTATCATTCTTCAAAATATCTTCTTTTGTGTTCAGCAGAGGAAAGAAAGTCATACGGGTTTGGAACAACTTTAGGGTGAGTAAATGATGACAAATTTTGCATTTTGGGGTGAACTATCCCTTTAAGTTTAAGTTAAATGTAAGTCTGTGTTTAGACTTGGTCAGACCTTCCTCCACTCTTCGGCCTGCGTGCTGCTCTGGAAGCCCAAGATAACCGTTTCGGCACCGGCCACCACCTTCAGCTCGTGCTGCATCTTCTTACTGTGATTGGATTTGTAGACCACGTAACAACCTGTGAGGTTTAGCTCCAGCAGAGGGTGCAGGTCTTTAGCACACTTAAAACACTACCAGGGGAAAATGAAGTATATATTATACACTGTACAGTTACTTAAAAGAGTTTTTATTAGGGAAACAATATATTTTAAAAATAATACTTAAGTGTGAAGTGAAAGTAATGTTTTCAGACACTTAACTGCATGTTATTTACAATTAAATGAAAATGTATTATAGTTCATAATTAAAATTTTATTTTCATTAGTGCTTTTTTACCCACTTAAATATAACTTAAGTACACCTTTATAAGTAATTTTATAATTAGTTTTATTGTCTGTTGAAAGTGTACTGCTGAATGTACTGATAAGCATTTATGGTAATATACTTCAGTGTCATTTCTATTGAAATTTGTATGTCGTATTTAAACACATTGGTAAGGATGAAGTTGCATTGATATATGTTAACTTTAATAACACTACAGTTAAAATTATAATCAAGTACTTTACATGTGCTTAAGTATGTTAGTCAACATCAAAATAAGTGAACTTTAAAGCACGACATTTAAATACATTTAAGTGGACTTTTCTTTCATTAAAATTATATTACCTGCAAGTGCAGTTTTTTAAAAACATATTTTTAATTTTTGAAGTACATCACAAGTGCACATTCAATACAATTGAGCACAATGTTTTTCAAGGACTGTGACAAGCACAGGAAATAAAATCCAAGAAGGTGACTTTAGTCTGTGGTCTCTTGATTTCTTCTATTTCGATTTGAATTGTCAACTCTTAATCAGATTTAAAATCTAATTTATCTATACAAAATAATTTCTTTATATTACAAATGTTCTGTTTCACCCAATATTTCTGTGTGTTATGCGTTTTTTTGTGCATTTTAGAGTAAGGAGTTGTTAGCTTAGCAACATGCTAAAGTTAAACTTCTCAGGAAACTACTGCGTGTATTAGTCAAGTATTAAAAGCAATATTTGTATGGTGGGCTAAGTGACTCGAAACAAAGTAGCTGCCCAGGATAAATGTTTTAAATCAGTGTCTTTGCTATGGTCTTATCAAATAACACCAAATACAAGAACACAGAAAAAGAGCTGGTTTCGGACTTTTCCTGTTATTTACTGTCACTTCGAAAATTTCAAAAAGATTTGATATTGCTCTGAAAGACAGATGTGACACGTTGTTGGTGTATTAAATCCTTCAAATATTCAATTTGTGTCATGCATACTTGCAACAGAGAGATGATGACTGTAGTAAAAACGTAAAAACTGCTCGTAAAAACGTTTAAAAAAAAGCATGATTTTAACTGGACATATAAAGATACTACCTAAGAGCACATGAATGTGTAGACAAAAAAGCAAAGCAGTTTGGAATAGAGTCATATGAAACCTCTTACCAGTAGTGAGTTGTGCTTAATAATGAAGAACTGGCGCGTCCACTGACCCAGCCACTTCTTCTTCCAGAGGTATCCGCAGATGCGTGACTCTGGCACGGGTCTTAAACACGGTTGAGAGGAGCTCCACTGGATGTAGTGAGCTCTGTCCTTCACAAACTCCTCATCATCCTCTTCGCCATACGACTCGTAGTGACTGCTGTCTGAATCCACTTTATCTGAGGCAAAGACAGGTATTTAGCATTACATGTGGATGTCAGTTGTTTCATTAAACTGCTGAATTGTCTCGTGTCCCATATCAGAAAGTAAGTTAGGGTGGTTTGGAATGACATGAGGTGAGTAAATTACAGAATTTCATTTTTGGGTGAACTATCCCTTTAAAAATGAGCGGTTTGGTCTTATAGTAGTCGGCTGTCACACTAACCTGTAGACTGACTGGCCGGGACAAACGGTTCTGCCTCCTCGTAACAGTCCTCGTCTTCTAAACACGGGGCATGCGGGGGAACAGCAGGACTCATAGACTGAACACACACACACACACACACACACACACACACACACACAAAGAAAACACCTTAGATGTATTTTTGAAGTGAGAACACCATTGATTCAGTTTTTTTGAAGGAAGTCTCTTATGCTCATCAAGGCTACATTTATTTGACAGAAATACATTAAAATCAGTAATATTGTGAAATTTTATTTTAATTTAAAATAACTGTTTTCTATTTAAACACATTTTAAAATGTAATTTTATCCGGATTCTTAGATGAATAAAAAGTTTAACAGAACAGCATTTATTCGAAAGCATGTATTATAAATGTCTTTACTGTGATTTTTGGATCAATTTAATGCTTCCTTGTTAAATAAAATGATTGTTTCTTTCAAAAAATTGTATATGTTATAACCCAAAAAAGTCATGGTTTACTATCTTTCTTCTGCTGAACACAAAAGAAGATATTTTGAGGAATGTTCATAACCAAACAAGTGCTGGTCCCCATTGACTTCCAGCGTATTTTTTCCATACTATGGAAGTCAATGGCTATCAGCAACTGTTTGGTTAACAACGTTCTTCAAAATATCTTCTTTTGTGTTCAACAAAAGAAAGACATTCATACAGGTTTGAAACATCTTGAGTAAATGATGAATTTTCATTGTGGGTGGTTCATTTTGAAAATAGGAAAAAGTTATGAACATCCTTATGATAAGAACAGCCCTGAAATAAAGAGCTATACACTGCCCAGGCAAAGTTCTAACTCATTAAGCCACAGTGAAGACCACACAACCAAAATCTGCACCCTGATCAATCGCGACACTTTCACATGAGCTGCTCATGGCAACCACACAACCAGAAATGACGACAGCACAGCAGGACAGCGCGATCACCTGAATGTGCACATGAGAGGCATCGTATCTGAGGATACGATCTGATATGGAGCTCAAAAGCCAGAGTTTAAGTGCTGCTCTGCAGTTATAGGAAGAGAGAGAGAGTGTGTTTTTAGTTGTACTAAGGGTCAGTCGGTCCACAGTGTTTATGAGAGTCTGGTGCAGACTGTTCTAGAGGAGCACAGCTGAAAGACAATGGCTGTGGTCGGCACTGGGGTCAGTAATTTGTAGTCGGACATTGAGGGCAAATCAGTAGCACTGAAACAAAGCCTTCCGAGAGTTGAAAAAAAAAAGAAAGGCAAAAGCCTGTACTCTTCAATTCCCATGGATCTTAACTTTACCATTTCTAATCTTTTCTCTTCAAGATTCAATATAATGGTTTTCCTTGGGAAATGCATTGGCATCAATTTAAGAAAACAATAAAAAAAAATAGTAAAAAATTTTACTGAAGCACATTTGAATGTAATTAAAGCAATTTTAATACATAATTTAATATAGAGTACAATTAAAAGAACATTAGTGAAACGTTGTTCTCCTAAGTCACAACCTGCTTTGTTAACATTTATGATTTAATCAAGCGTTTATGATCAAACACTTGATTAAGTCACGCTTAAGTGTTGCCACTTACTGGCACAACAACCTAACCTGCAGAAAAAGCCACTGAATGAATCTTTTTAGTGAACTGATTCAGAACATTTGAGTCCCTGGGATGAATCAAAATCTTCACCATAAACCAGAACTGCAAGAATAATGACTGTTTTCAAACAGGTTTCCCCAACCAAATAAATTCAATGTTAATTTAAATTTAATTATCCACAACTCTCATTAGTTGTTAACTAAATCTATTAAAATTGTTTTCATTGGTTGAAATAAAGCTCAAATAAGTCACTTAAGGGGGAAGTCGTGGCCTAATGATTAGAGAGTCGGACTCGTAACCCAAAGGTTGTGGGTTCGAGTCCCATACTTGGCCACATGTCACGTCACTCATAAAATATAAATATTGAATGAAAAACCTAAGCTCATAAAAAATTTGAAATGTTGCCTTGTTGTTGAAGTACTAAAATCTATCTAAAATTAAAATTGGTGTTGTTCAAATGGTGTTGTTCTTCACCATTACCATCAACAACAGACTGAAATGGACTGACTTGAAGTGTGTTAATGATGCCTTTATATCCCATCTTCAGTTCAGTGTCTGTTTGTTGGAAGGTGGGTGTTTGACTGAAGAATTTCAGAATATTAATTACATCTTTTCTTAGTGTTTCTTCTCTTTTATCTCTTGCATATTTTTGTTCTTTCTGATTCCCCTCTCGGGCTGGTTGGGTTTGGGAGCACAGCCTTTACAGCTCTGGGGATCAGATACATATCTGTGAATGAAAGATGAAAGGAGTTTTTGTGTGTTCACGAGTATGTGAGGGAACGAGGGATAGAGACCGAGAAACCAATATAGATGCAAGAATGGAACACATTTGTAAGTAATGCCAAAAGCTAAAAGGATCAAAATGATAAGAACCAAAAAAATTTATGAAGCTAGGGAAGAAAAACTAAGAAAGGAGTCAAAGTGAATTGCAATCTGCAGGCCATTTTGACTTTAAAGAGGGAGCAAACCACCATTCCTGGAAAATGCATCATTGCATATTATGTGCCAGTGTTTGGAGAAGTAAAAATTGTGACAAAAGCGAAAGTAAAAAGGTTTGTGGTACTGTTATGACGGGTAGCGGAAACAGGAGGGGTCTTGAATGCTCACTAAGCCCATAAAACATTCACTGCACATTCCACGTCTCTGTCTCACATTAACCATTATAAAACTTTATGAAGAGAGCTTGTGTGAAGACACACATCCTAAAACATGCAGGTCAGTTTAACCGTGTCAAATTGAGCTTGTTACATTACCTCATGAAGCACAGGAGGAACCAATCTAAGCCTGTAAAACCCCCACCTCTTACTGACCCGCACACACACACAAACCCACCTTACATAAAGACTACTGGAAGAATGCATTACACAGGACCCATATCTCAGAGCTACAGGTGTGCAGAGCAAACTTCTACCATTAGGGATGCACAAAATATCGGTACCATATTGGTTAACCCTCTGGGGTCTGAGGGGGATTGGGGCTCTGGAGAAGTTTGACATGCCCTCACATTTGTGCTTTTTTTCAGTTGCTTATAAACACATTAATGGCTAAAGTCTGTATTCAGCACAAACTGGCCTAAAATAATATGTAAGCGGCATGTTTGTACAAGTTTGTATTTTTGAGAAAACAACATTTAAGTGTGTTTATTATGTATTAGAGATTTCGAATTTAGCGGTACCGGTCTGACATGTAGTTGTGCTAATTTTCTCCACTTTTGCATTTAGATTACCCATCTAAGTAACTTAAAGTTAATCTTTAATTACACTATAATAATTCAATAACACTGTTAAATGTAATCTTTAAAGGGGTCATCGGATGCCCATTTTCCACAAGTTGATATGATTCTTTAGGGTCTTAATGAAAAGTCTGTAAGATAGTTTGGTTAACATTTCTCAATGGTAGTGTAAAAAACACCTTTTTTACCCTGTCAAAAACAGCTCTTTTCAGAGCAAGCCGTTTTCATTATTAGGAAAGGCGATTTGCAAAGATTCAGTAAAAAACCTTATACTCACTTCTTCTGTAGGTGAAGCTGGATCACGAATGAATGATTCACGCGAACATAGACGCATCTGAGATCGGCTCGATTTGAGAAAGGGGTAAAGATTTTAGTAGATTAAAAAAAAACACTGGGTGGATTTTTATCATTATAGGGTGGTTGTGTACACACACTGCCAACACACATTTCAGTTAAAAAAACTTGTAAAAGTGCATGTAGCATCCGATGACCCCTTTAACAAATCTTAATCTCAAGCCAGCCATTTGTTTTTATTTAGGGGTGGATTTTTCTTTATTTTGAACTTGATACAATTCAAGCTGAGCGGTTCAGCTCATATATGTGAACAAAACAAGTGAACTCAGACCTCCCTAAAAGGATCCAAAAGCAAACCGTACTCAAACCACCTCTGGAGGTGGTTTGAGTATGGTTCGCTTGTGGGTCAGTTTGTTGTTCGATTTCCTCGTGATTTGTGAAAGCAATGAGGTCCCGGTCTGCTTTGTATGGACCAACATAACAGTAATGCTTGAGGAATGCTTGAGTCTCTTGTTACATTTTTCATTAATAAATAAATAGATAAACCAACTGTTAACTCTAACAATACAAAACAATTCTGTTGTCATTTATGTAATCTACGGTTAGCTGTGCATTAAATGATTTTAATGCATGACGTGGAGGCAAAGAACCACCCAATGTGCAGCTGAGGTCTAGCATTCTGCCCACTTTAAAATCAGACACAGAGATGAAGTAGTGCGGTAAGATCACATTTTTTTGAATGCATGAATTATAGCATTGATTTGAATTAACTATCGAGAGACAGAGAGAGAGAGAGAGAGAGAGAGATGAAAGTTGCATAAGTGAATTGCGTCTATGCATCTCACTCTGCAAACAGTGAAGCTGTGAGTTTAGTTACTTCAAAAACAGCAATTAGTTAGGAGCAAAGAAACATTTTAATACTATCTGAGAAAAAAGGAAGTTGATTTAACTTTATACATAATGTTCCTTTTAATTTTACATTTGACTGAAATGCATTGTTAAAGCTCTGCAAATGTCTTTGCGTCATGATCAGGGATTGCCAGATCCTCACCCGCTTCCCGGTCCACTTCATCTTCCAAATTTTCCACTGCTGCACAGAGAGCTGGGGTCTGAGTTTTTATGAAGTTGTGGTGCGAACAAGAAGGGGTCTGAGATCACTGCAGTGCTGAAGAGGACCAAAAAAACAACCGTGTTCTCTTTTGAGTCCACTACACTGTGAACACCATAAGGACTGAGGTCACTTTCAGCTGGTTCCCTTTCTGGTTCACTTTAAGTGAAGTGGGTTTGGTTATTTTAAAATGAACTTTCACGAATTCGCCTGCCCATTCAGCCCTGCCAGGTAATGGTAAAACGAACTTGGCTTGCTGTCCGTGAAGGAGGCTCGAAACCCGAGGCTCGGCTTGAGCTCCGAGTGAGGAACCCCCCAAAAAAGCTTATGAAGGACAGCAAGCTCGTTGCCGACTGGAGAAGGAAGA